ATAGGAGAATTCTAAGAAGGAGGAAGCCCATTCCTCCCTAGTCCTTTCTAGACACAGAAGAAAGAAGATGAAGATGTGATTGTCCCACTGAAAAAGGTACCAAGCCATGTGGCTAACATAGACAAGAATAATGGGTTAATATATGTTATAAGAGTTAGTAAGAAGCCTGAGCTAATGGCAGGCAGACCTCTGTGAGTTCAAGCCCTGGTGGCACATGCCTTTAATCCCAAAGCTTGGGAGGGAGAAGCAGACAGACCTCTGTGAATTCAAGGTGTGCTGGTGCACACCTTTAGTTCCAGTACTTGGATGGCAGAGGCAGGTGGATCTCTGTGAGTTCAAAGACATCCTGGTCTATGGAGGGAGTTCGAGGACAGCCAAAGATATACAGAGAACCTGTCTCAAAAAGTAAAAGTAAAAGAAATAGAGGTTAAAGTAAAGCCACATAAGGATGGAAAATACACAGTGAATCTGGATACTGTATGTTATTATGCTCTCTTTGAATTGTTTGAATTCTGAGGAAGGAACAACAGCTTCCTTCTAAAAGATATTTGCTTATAAATGCTGCTAAATTAATCCAAGATAGGTATTTTGAAAATACCTTGACTTCAAAATTGAAGTCATTAGGTATGTTTACTTTGCAGAAGATATTTTGCTTTTTTTCTACAGGAAATGAGAGGCTGTGGATTCATTCTGAGTTAAGAAAAATCAAGTTTGATCAAGGAAGACCACCTGAGAAATCTCTGGTAGGAACAGATGGCCCAGATGTCTGAGTTCTACATCCAGAACAGATTCAAGACTGCTGCCTGAGATGATCAAGACTCACAGGATACTCCAGTCAGGACTTGATCATAATTCTAAATCTTCTTTAGGTCCCAATAAGATTATCAGCACCCCCAACCAGCAGGAAGTCGCCTGGAAAACAATGCCCACTTTACCAAAAATGTAATATGGATGTTCTTGTATTCAAAAAAAAAAAAAAAAAAATAGAGGGGGAGGTGGTGCAAGACAATTGTCTATATTCTGTCAATTATGTTTTAAATAAATGCTGATTGGCCAGTAGCCAGGCAGGAAGTATAGGTAGGACAACAAGACAGGAAGTAGAAGCAGGTCAATAAGAACAGGAAGATTCTGGGAATGAAAAAGCCCATTCCTCCCCAGTCCTACCCAGACACAGAAGAAGGAAGATGTGACCTGCCCCACTTAAAAAGGTACTGAGTCATGTGGCTAACATATACTAGAATAATAGACTAATATAAGTTATAAGAGTTAATAAGAAGCCTGAACTAATGGGCCCATCAGTTTATAACTAATGTAGATCTCTGTGTGATTTCTTTGGGACTTAATGAATGTGGAAACGGCAGGACAGAAACTTTAGTCAACACAGTGCCTAACCCAGAGGCCATGTATCTCTCTGTCTCCTAAAGCTTAACTCAGTTCATAACTGTCATTTATCAAGGATGGCCAGGACACTACTCTCAGTTTGCAAAGAGAAGCTCTGGCCTTATAAATAGAATAGTCAGTTGTAAAATGAAATGACCTAAGCTGATAACAGCTTCTTAAGCATCTGAGAAAATCTGAATGATTGAGCCTTGATCTGCTAAGAAAGCTGCTGATAGTCTGTTCTCATTCAATTAGACTTATAACTTTGTACTTTTTTATTTCTACATTCTTATTTCTGGAATCTACATTTTTATTTTCTTATTATTGGACTCTTCACTACCTTGGAAAGAGCGATTTTGCAGGTACAACCCAAGTTGAAAATCTCAAAGGTTTCAATAGTTTTTTTTTTAATATATAATTTTTTATTGAAAAAAATTTCCGCCTCCCATTTCCCTCCCCCTCCTCCCTCTCCTCTTCCCCTCCCCCCACACCTCTCCCCCTCCCTCTCCAGTCTGAAGGGCAGTCAGGGTTCCCTGCCCTGTGGAAAGTCCAAAGTCCTCCCGCTCCATCCTGGTCTAGGAAGATGAACATCCAAACTGTGCTCCCAGGTGGCCAGGGCGATGTCCCCAGTTAGTTCCTGGGGCAGCTGAGGACAGAGAACCTGAAATGACCCTATCCTATAGCCATACTGATGAATATCTTGCATATCACCATAGAACCTTCATCTGGAGATGGATGGAGATAGAGACAGAGACCCACACTGGAGCATCGGACTCCCGATGGGGAGCAGAAGAAGGGAGAACATGAGCAAGGAAGTCGGGACCACGAGGGGTGCACCCACCCACGGAGACAGTGGGGCTGATCTAGTGGGAGCTCACCAAGGCCAGCTGGACTGTGACTGAAAAAGCATGGGATAAAACCGGACTTTCTGAATATGGTGGACAATGAGGGCTGCTGAGAAGCCAAGGACAATGGCACTGGGTTTTGATCCTACTTCATGTTCTGGCTTTGTGGGAGCCTAATCAATAGTGTTTTAAGAACAGAAGACAGGAGACAGAGTGGCCGTGTGATAATGATGACAGATGGTAGACCGTGGCTAGGCGAAGTAGAGTAAAAGGACCACAGAATGTGGCCAGGTTCTTTCTTGACTAAAAGTTGGAAATTCCCATAGTTATGTATGCAACCTTTGTCATGCCAGAGATCAAATGTTAGTAGCATCTAAGTAAAAAAAATAAGTGTGCTTCTGCTTTGGCTAGAAACTGGAGATGGCAGAAAGGGGTGAGATGTTTTCTTATCTCTTTTCTTTTAAAGTATGGTTCCTGACATCTATCTTGAAAATTGGACTGAAACTGGAGTTACCAGAATACCTAAAATGGAAACGGGATGGAGTGGGGCCAGCTTATGTCCACCTTTCCTTCCTCCATCTACTAAAGCCTTATTAACTCCAAGGCAAGGTACCCTATTCCAGGCACCCTTCCAGCTATTTAAGAGCTCTTTAGTTTTTTTCTCTCCTAAGCTCACTATAATGAAATGTTTCTCTGAAACTCAACTGTGAAAGATTCAGCATGTCTGATCTGGCAGCTGGCTCCATGGTGGCTGCCTGAATCTGCTTCTTTCTCCCAGCATTCTGTTCTGTCTACTCCGCCTATCTAAGCTGCTGTCCTATCAAAGGGCCAAGGCAGTTTCTTTATTAAGCAATGAAAGTAACACATAGACAGATGACCCTCCTCCATCATTCTGTGATCTGTAAATTTCATTTTTCAGATTCACAAGACAGATACTCAAAACTACTCGCTTCCAGTAGCTTTGACAGCCATCAAGTTTCTAAGACTGTAACTTCTCAAGCCATATACAAGAGCCAAGAAAGCTCAGGGAAGCAAGAACAAATGAGTGAGGGAGTGAAGGAGAAAGCGAGCAAGAAGAGTGAGAGTCAGCTTATGGTTCTGTTGTTCTATATGGATCAAGCCCTCTGTAAGGTCAAGCCCTCACTGCAACCCTAGGAATCAGATATACCGTCACTTTATGGGAGGTTTCTCAGCACAGTGGTAGAGCTGAGTGGCTGTGTCAGAGATGCTATGCCTCCTCACTGACCTCTGTTCTACCCAGAAAATTTCTGTTCTACTCACACTTGTTTTCATTGGAAATCTTTACATGATCCAGATACTCAGTATATGTAACAAATCCACCCAAGTATGTGTATCAGACAAGTCTAATATTTACTGGTGATAAATCATAAAGAAATGTATTTCAAAGCAATTCATTGGTATACATACAAGTTTACCAAATGTACAAGATCAAAGCAAATTTGCATAGTAATGAGATACTTGTTTGTTTTACATGAAAAATTAAATCTTGCCTAAGTATTTGATACTGCAAGGTAGAAAGCATATTCAATAGTTTTTAGAGTTGATTGATGCTTTGATTTTATAAGCACCAATGCTGAGAATGGGTTTTTATAAAAATATAAGGTGCAAAATGGAAAAAGTATGTTAGAATCATTTCAGAAGTTATTGGAAATTCTGTCCTAATTTCAAACCAATATTAATTTAAGAAATTTTAAAAATGAAATTCAAGTGAGCAACTCAAATGTAAATTTTTAAGTCATACATTTACCATAATATAAATATGTGATAATTTGATGCAGACTGAAGAATAAAGAAGAAAAGCATGCAAAGTCTTTGTTTCCCGTAATTAAACCACTTTGCTTCCATAGGATCAGAAAAGAGCCAATACATAACATGACATTGCCTGGAATGCAAGCCTGTGTTTTAGACTGTGTTTGTGGCCCTGTGGACCACATGGGCAAGCTGAAGGCCAAGCACACATGCTCTGTGCAAACCCAAGGCTGCAGTGGAGGCTCACTATTCAAAACACCTCGCACCTCGGATTTGGAACCCATTTGATTTTGAATTTACTCTGACCTTTAAACGCTCAGAAACTTTGCTTTTGTCGGCACATTTCTTTCTTTCTTTGTGACCCCTCCTATAGAGGTAGGCAGCCCAGCTTGGGGTCACAATGCACAGTTTAAGCAGTGGGGCCCTAGAAATTACAGGCAAGAATGAGTGTGTGACATAGGATGCAATCCAGACAAGGCTTGGTTCTAGGAGCCCCAAGGAATGGGTCAAGGTTTGCTACATCCTCTGTGGTCGTGTTGATTATGGACTGTAAACTACAAAAAGGATCCATGTTAGAGAGCGATTTTTAGAACACTGAGATGTCCCGGATTACACTCAAAGGGAAGAATTACTTTTTTGGTAAAGATAAATAAATCCCATGTCCTTTTGATTGTTAGACACCATTTCCCCTTTTTATAGCTTGTGGACATTTTGAAAGATATTTGATCTCTATTTACAAAGGTATTTGATCCCTACTTCAGATGGCAAAGCCCAGTTTGATTGCTAAAATAAAGAAAGTACCTAGTCTTAAAAAAAGTCCAAGAACTATTGCTTCCATTTTATAGTTTTGTTTTGTTTTGGAGACAGTGTCTTATTATATGTTCCTGGCTGGCTTTGAACTCCTTGGGATACATCCTCCTTTTCTCCAGAGTACTAGAATTAAAGGCATGCCCACAACACACAGCCCATTGTTCCTTTGTAAAGCTTAAGGTAAGTCCAAGTTTCTTTGCCTCTTGTTTTATTACTTTGTAGTAAAATGTTTTCTTTACATTGTTTACTAATGGGGGCTGGGTAGATAGCTCAATGTTTAAGAGCTCTTGCTGCTCTTTTGGAAGATTGGGATTTGGTTCCCAGTTTCCACACAGCAGCTCACAATGGTCTATAGCTCCCATCTCAGGACATCCAATGCCCATTTCTGGAATAGGCAGGTACTACACATAAACTGACAGAAGCACACACAAGGACACATGAAAACAAAAATTTAATTTTTAAAAAGGTGGCTAATCATCTTGACCACCTGGAATTGCATCTGTGATAAAGACATTGTTTGCTCATTCGGGGCTTGCATATGTGGTGGGCAGGACATAATTTAATCCTTGGGCTCTCCCTAGAAATCTCAGTTTGAAGATGAATAAAGATTTAGTTTCATAGCAGAACATGCTGAGAGTAAGTGGTCTGCCCTTACTGACAGACCTGGAAGAACAAGTTGAACCTTGGAGAATCCTGGTGGCAAATTCATTCCCTTACAGGTGAAAACAAAATGTAAACTAACACTGTTCAAAAATTCTTTAAAAATCATTCTCATGGGAAAAGAATTGATTTGAGTTGCACAATTTCTTGTACTTAGGTTTAGGTAACATATGCAGCTGAATTGCAAAAGTTAAGTTGCTATTTTGTCAAATTTCAAATTATGGGGTGGGTGAAAGGTTAATACTTTTTTTTTTTTTTTTTTTTTTGCTTTGAGAGCAAACTCTACCTGGAAGAAGCCTGCAGAGCTTTGATCTTGACCTGAAAGTATTCCTGCAGATTCTAGAATCCCAATGGGAGAACAACCATGCCAGGAATGAGCCCAAAAATATATTTTTTTAAATAATAGCAAACAAACAAATGCAGAACAACAAGGCTGGCCCATTGATATCCCTAAGGAATTGCTGGCTGGAAAACTGCTTGGAAGAAGGGGAGGGGGGGTGATCTTTGTTACAAACTTCCTTCCCCTGCCCTGGCTTCTGTTTCCTTACCCCTCTTACCCCCCCCCCCCCCCCGGGGAGTTGTGTTTTCTGGGATCAGCAAGTAGAAAAACCACAAGTGGTCTTTTCTTTTTTCCTCTTTCTCCTGTAAATAAAGCTTTATCACGTGTGGCCTTAAACTTGCTGCAAATTGCAAAGAAATGGCTCAAAGTCTCCAGCTCTTTCCGTACCCTGAGAGCTGAGACACAGGGCAGTGCCCTTGCCAGGGTGCCCAATTCCCTCCAGACTGCCAGAAAAAAAAAAAAAAAAAAAAAAAAAAAAAAAGAGGCCAACTGGAGAGGAGAAAGAGAAAGATTGCCCTGGGGTGAGACCAGACCCTTGGTCTTTTCTGTTCTCTAATCTGTTCTGTCTGTGCCCACCAGCTCTCTTGACTTGTCAGAACTGCTCAGAGCTGCTGCCGGGTGTTGCCTCAGTTTCTTCTTTCAGGCTGTGCCCTGGGAGTCAGCCTTTTGCTGAACTTTATGAGAACTGGCCAGCTTTGATCTCCACCTCCAGGTAAGAATGGGTTCTTTTTATTTTTATTTATCTATTCATTTATTTTTGTTTTTAATTGTGTGAGCATGACACCTTGCTCCCCTAGGAGAGAAGTTGACAATTTGACATTGATTTCTTCAAGACTTTGGTTTATCCATGACACTTTAGTAAAAAGCAGTGGGTTTCCTTGTTAGCTGGGTAAATAGAAAAGGAGTCTGTCAGAGAAGCCAGGTAAACTCAGATCTCACTTGTATTTGGGCTTTTATGCTTATTAGTTGGGCGGCCTCTGACAGAAAGCTTAACTGCTCTAAGTGAAATCATTTTATAAGTAAATAAAATGATTTTGAAGTTTGGGGGTTATTTTAAAGATTATAATATATGTATATATCACCCTGAATAGGAATGCTTACAAAAAGTGAATTTGATAGTGAAGTCATTTGCTCCTGGGGGTGGGAGATCAGTATTCTAGATAAGGCACATTTCTCCTCAGCAAAGACTACAGGTTAGTTCTAAAAACCTCTGGAAGAGAAGAATCTCAGGGTCAGAGTACCTGGCTGGTGCAGAGCTGTGAGGTCTGGGTATGGCTACCTCTTTGACCTTCTCAGTGACAGCCCAATGCAGGCTGGCTGCACTGTCACTGGTCCAGAGCATAGGGCCCGAGTGTATCTGTGTAACTAACTTTACCTACCTTGGCCATCTGTACTCCTTTAGAGACTAGATTTTCAAACCAACCAATGTAAACAGAGAATTCAGCTTTTTAGAAGCTACCAGCTTGGCTTGTTTGCTTTAGAATCTGGAATATGGTTATGCCCTTACCTGGGATACTGAATGAAACTTTCCCATCTGTCCTTTTATATTTTGGAAAAATCAACTCAGGTGGGCCAGTGACGTATCAGGTGCATATCCCTCTAAACTGTGCTCCAGTCCTGCTACACAGATGCAGATGAAGAGAAGGGGGCTTTGGCCATAGAAGACTTGCCTTCATGCCATAGGGCTTTCTTCCCTATCCTTTCAAAGCACTGAGAAGCACACAAAACCCACAAGCTGAAACCTGCTTAGAACATATTGCAGTCATGCTGATTTGCATATTAGTCATTAAGATGCAGTTTTGCTCCAGGAAAACTATGTAGTGTCAGTGTTTTAAGGGTTTAACTTGGTCCAATCACAGTACTGACCCAGATCAGGATGTCTGCTCTTTGTCCTCTCCACCAGATCACAGTAAGAATGATTGTGTCAACACTTCCAAATACAAGAAGAGAACATGCTAAAACATCTCAAATATTTAAAATATAATTTCCAGTGTGTTTTACTGTTTTGTGCAAACAGCTTATAGTTAAAGAACTTGCTCTTTCAAAGAAAGATTTAGTTTGGGGGATATATTGCATATTCTAGTTAACAGCTTTAAAATCATGTCTAATGGGACGTAGTATTTCCAGAGGACCTCAAAAGGCCAATTTTATATAATTTTTAGAAAGAATCACATTTTGAAGTGTAAATTTACTATTATTCCTTCTGTGTTTTAAAGTGTTCCTGGCTATATGCTTTTATGTAGCGATGTTTTTAGTTTTCTAATGTCATAACATTTTTATGTAAAATGCATACTTATTATAGAAAAACCAGAAGATGTGTATAGACTTAATTAACATTAAAACCTCTGCAATGTCACTCACTAGAAGCAATGCATTTCACTGAAGTCAGGGAGACTTCGTTTCTCCTCATGTGAGTCTGTTTCTTATCACTATTCGTCTCACTGTCTTAAAAATAAGTTCTACTCTGTCCAGTGTCAACATTTACTTCTTTGCCTTACCTTCCAGTGATTTCTGAGACTTCATTGTGAGACATCGCCATATTTTTTTTTTTTTTGGCTTTTTTGGTCATTTGGCTATTTGAATGTTTTTCATCCTAAGCAATGACTCTTTTTAGACCTCCATCAGGATCTGAGTAGACTTGTTGAAAAGAAACCTGTGCAGGAGGCTGTGTTTCTTGGGCAGTGTTTGATGATCCTTGCAAAGCATTGTTTTGGATAACTAGCTTTAGTAATTTAGTCTTTTTACAAAGTTGGTATCACAGGCTTTTAAGAGTTTTCTTAGATTGTTTCTGATTTTGTTTCTGTTACTGTTGTTTTATTGTTGTTACTTTTTCAGGAATGGATGCCAAATGTTATCAACCACTATCATTAATCGGTTGCTACATTGTTAGAATAATTCCAGTTAAAGTATTGAGCAACTGATTTGGTTTTGCTAGCATTTGGGGAAGTTTATAATCTATAGGTTTCTCTTTTTATGCTGACCTCACGAGACTTCATAATGAAGGTCATTTCAGTTGTATCAAATAAATAGCACCAGTGAATCCATTTCATTCTGTGCTTGCTTTCCTTAGAGGGGATCCCTTGATAAAGCGCCCTGTCATTTACTCTATGTCTTAGAGTATTTTTTAAAAAGACCCTGCCCCTCTCTTTTAAACCCCATCCATTTCCCATAAAATAAAGAGTTAAGACATCTACTCCATTTCTAAATTGTTTGGGCCATCTCCTGTCACTTTTGTGTTTCAAAATGAGTCAATTATACCGCCATTCCTTTATTTTTTTTTTCCAGAAACAAAATTCAATCTGTGAAGCCAAATGATGAGAACTTTAATAAACCAAGAAGAAGAATTGGCTAACAAGGTCAAGATCATATAGACATAAGCAGAACAACCCTATATTCTACCACATGCATGAAGTTTTACTTCAAATATTATTTCTGCAGTCAGTGTAATGAGGGTTAGAAGACCTCTGTGTACAAGTGGGCATCTTGTACACAGCCATGTTGTTTTGATTTTTGAATGCCGTAGCATGCATTAGATTATTAGACAAATTCTGACTCATGGTAGAAGGCTTAAAAAAGTGTAGCACAGGATGTGTAAATATTAATGTGAACAGGGAGAAACAGGGTCAGATTGTGCAAAACTGTTATGAGTTTCTTTAGGAGAAAGAAAAAGGGGAGGGTGAGAATTAAGCATGGGGAGGGTTTCCCTTCCTCTAAGGCAAACTAAAGCCTGTATTTTCATCTGCATTCAATCTAGGCGCTAGACGTTTATCGTTCACATTCCTTCTTCATTAGCCAAATGGTGCACAAATTGGACCTCTTCCTGTTTGCTTCATTTTAATCCTTACTCGGGTGCCAGGGGAATGCTAAGGTGCTTCGGGGATCTGGGATGGTGTCAGCTTCTGCTATTCATTGAGTCTTGGAAGGCTTACTTCTAATGAATCAATATTCAAGAGGTTGGATTTCTCTTCCCCTTCCTGCTTGCGCCCGGTTTAATCTGGCGAGACCACAAAGTCAGAAAAAATTCTACCTCGTTATTTATTCCAAAGGCAACATGGAAATTTATTCTTTGCTATAATGAGGCTCAAAGTGGAGAGATTGAAAAGGAATGCTGGCTGCAGGCTCTCAATGGCAGGATTCGTTAATCAAATATGCTGTCTGATTTTAATTGAAACAAGTCGCCAACTTACTGTGGTAAGAGGAGATAGTGACACTTTAACTTATACCTAAAGAGCTGAAGCCTACAGTGAAATGGAAACGTCTTTAAATTCTGTGGCTCGGAATTAAATTGTTGTTTCCTTTGAAAATCAGCTTTGACAGGCTGGGATAAGGAACGTTTTCATAATGGACACCTCATCCAAGAAAAACGCCCATTTGTTCCACAAAAACCCCTCGCGACCTGTCAGAAGGCAATCCCTTAAAGCCGGGTGTCCATCCCCAGAGGAAGCGCGACCATGCTGTGGCAAACTCAAGGTAGAGGGCTTGGGTGTACTTTATATGCTGACTTCCATATAAAACTCAGCTAGAAGAGGAAATTGCTGTCTTTTTTTAATATAAGCTTTTAACTGCAAATTACCAAGACCGCTTGCCAAGCAGTGGAATCCTTTTTGCCTGCCATGCGGGCTAGATGGATTTCTCCGGCTCTTTTGAAGGTTCTTCCTAGACAAACAGGGAATATGTAGATGCAGACATTTGTTAAAGCGCTGCCTTGTGCCATATATCAGACTAAGCACACCCAGACTATTTTCTTTCTGGGAAAGAAAACTTTGGCTTTTCTTGTTACACAGAAAGGGACAGGTGTCTGCATGATGTAAGCCTTCCTTTTTTCCAGCAAATAGTATTAATGAAACAAAAAAATACTGTTTACTAATAATTATTAACCTGAATTCACATGCATACTGCTTTACATATACAATTAAAATGTAAGTCTATTAAAATATAACCAGCTACTGAAGAACCACTGGAAATTTAAGAATAAAGTTAACAAACACATACCAAAAGGACGTGGTCTCAAGAAACCCAAACAAACAAAAAAGTAAACTGAACATTTCAGAGCAGAATGTTCCCTGCTAGTGCAAGGTCGTGATTTCAAAAAATATTTAATAGACAAGGTTGGACTTGTGAGGAGATGGCGTGTGTATGGGTTTTGATTTTCACTTTTTTATTTACTTACCTGTGGATGGTGCGTTCCATGCCACTCTCTGATATTCTCAAAGCTAGGTTCCCTTTCATGTCTTTTGTGGAGGGGTAGGGAAGAGGTGGAATCCTGCACACAATTTACATGAAAATCAGCATGCATTTCAACTGCCAAGTAATTTAGAGGGCTTGTTCTTGGGGGGAGGGGGAGGAATTCTGCATAGTCTTGAGACTAATTAGAGCTGCAATAGTACTTGAATCAAACTGTCAATGGTAACACACTTGCCTTTCCACAGTGCTGTTCTCTGAATTTTGTTTCCTTAGTAACTTCTGAGCCATGCCAAGCTAGTCAGACTTCGTGTGCCCTTTCATGTCTTCCAGGTGTTCCTGGGTGCCTTGTCTTTTGTTTACTTTGCCAAAGCGTTGACAGAAGGCTATTTGAAGAGCACCATCACTCAGATAGAGAGAAGGTTCGATATCCCTTCCTCCCTGGTGGGAGTAATTGATGGTAGTTTTGAAATCGGTAGGTATTACAGAAGCCTGACCTTCCCTTTAATTCCAAGGTCTTTCTCTGAAACCTGCTCAGTATCATCATTCATTGTCTGCTGAGATCCAACCTGTAATCCTGTTTGGACAGATCTGCCAGGACCTTATGCTACTCAAAGGAAACCCATTCTTTCACAGAGCAGGCAACTGATAACAATTTCCCTGCCTCCACTGTTCATGACTGGACGTCTTAGATGAGTTACTTAAACATAGGAGGGCAGACTTACTTGGGAAGGAGAGGGGGTCCTGATTGGTGTTTCGCGTTGTGGTATATGAGAAACACCTCTTGGGGAAGTAGGAATGTGGGAACACACAAAGTGCCTCTGCAAAAATGTAGCCCAAATATTTAAGTAGTGGACACTGTATTTTTCTACACAGTAGCTGTGAGGGAGAGAAAGGGGATTCTATTAGCAGGAACACAAGAGTAGATCTGATTGTAAAAACTCTGCATACACTTAGGTATCCTTGTTTTAGCAGACTTGCTTAGACTCTTCAAATCAGTGACTTGCATCACTGTGTGGTTCCAGTTAGTCAGACCCTGGACTAACTGTGAGGCATTTGTTGCCTTTCAAAGAAAAACAAAGTAATCCTCTCAGTGCTTGCTGATGCCTTTTGGAACAAATAAAATGGCAGGGAAGTCTCCTAACTGTTTTAGTGTCAGCTTTACCTGGAGTGACAGGAATGTCTAAATTGTCTACTTTTTTTTTTTTTTTTTAATTTCTGCTATTTTGCTTTCATTTGTTACTCTGGATATCAGAAAAAAAAAGTAAGACCAATGAACATATAAACTTTTCTGGCTTCTGCAAATAACACAACCCTCACTTTAAAAGGGATAAGAGATGGTTTATTTTGGAGACAAATAATGCATAGCCGTAGCCCATGGACACCAACTTAGGCTACCCCCAATACTGTGTCCTAATGTGGTAAATATTACATGAAGATTTTGTTTAAGAACAAAGAAAGCCATTGATTAAGATGCTTTCCAGCAGGTTGGTGGAGACATCAAGTAGGAGGTTACAGAAAGTTGGAGGAAACCTCTGCTATTGGGCTTAGAGGCCACCTGATGATAATATGAGCTTTTGGATAGGTAGAGGTTAGGGATGTTTCATACAGAGGGGTTTACCTAAGGGTCAGCAGGATGTCAGGACATACAGAGAAGTGGGTGACACATACTGTGAGGGGATTAAGAAGACCAGAGATAATTGGACTCTGAACCCATAAAATTCCAACCACTAGAGTTCTACACAGGTCATCAGCCTTGTAGGTGGAGCAGTCCTGCTAATTTGTTCACCAAGAAGCACTGCCAATCACACGTTAATGGATGTACTGGGGTCCTGGGAGTATTAAAGTGCAGGCATTGATTCTACAGGGAGGGGACCCAAGGTTCTATTTGTTTTTGTTATAGATTACATTAATTTAGTGATTAATTTAGTCTATGTGTTTGCATGTGTACACGAAAGTGTTCTATGGTGCACATGGGAGGTCAGAGGATACCTTGAGAGTCTTTCCTCTCCTTCCATCATGTTCACTCTGTAGACTGACTTAGGGCAAAGTGGCTTTGCCTGCTGAGACATCTAACAGGAAGTCTGCATTTCTTGTTGTTAGAGGCTACAAATGCTGTTAGTCAGTGACCACACATACATCAAGATTCTAAAATGCCTGCTCATACCAGTTCCTGATGTCACTAAGTCACCTCCTTTGGTCAGGTGATTGTCTACATTATGAGACTATACCCAGGAAGCCAGTATATCCTGATTGAGGCAAACTTACAGATGAAGGGAGATGTGCCAGTAAAAATTAGATGTCAGAAAGTTTTAATTTTTCAGACTCTTGGTTTCAATGTAGGAACACCTTATTAGAGCTACTTAGACATAGTGCAAACTCTCTGTTGGATTACCTTAATATGTAAGACAAAAACTGGTCCAAAATGATGTTCAGTGCCAACAGCAAGTCTCTACACACATGCAACACATGTACACTTTATTCTCACACGTGTATGTTTCCATATATATGTGAACATGCACACATATAAGCATGCTCACACACCCCACATACATACTATAAAAGTTATATATGATAATCTACATGTGTTATTGTAATAGGAGTGGCGGGCTACATTCCTGGTACCCGGCCGCCCGCATGGCTAGCTTTATACCCAAAATAATTACATGAAAACTGTATTCTTTTCAACACTGGCTGGCCCATTAGTTCCAGCCTCTTATTGGCTAGCTCTTACATATTGATCTAACCCATTTTTAATAATCTGTGTAGCCCACGAGGTGGCTTACCAGGGAAGATCTTAACCTGCATCTGTGTCCGGTGGGAGAATCATGGCGACTCCCTGACTCGGCTTCTTTCTTGAGCATTCTGTTCTGTCTACTCCATTTTCTGGTCTACTACTTAATTTTCTGTCCTATCAGGTCAAGAAGTTTTCTTTATTAGTTAACCAATGAAAGCAACTGTTGAAATTAGGAGCAGTGGGGCTGTGTCCCAGGCACCTGGCCGCCCACATGGCTAGCTTATGCCTAGAAATAATTACACGGAAACTGTATTCTTTCAAACACTGCCTGGCCCGGCTAGTTCCAGCTTCTTATTGGCTAGCTCTTACATATTGTTCTAACCAATTTCTAATATTCTATGTAGCCCACGAGCTGGCTTACCAGGGAGGATCTTAACCTGCGTCTGTCTGGAGCGGGAGAATCATGGCGACTCCCTACTAAGCTTCTTTCTCCTAGAATTCTCTTCTGTCTACTCCGCCTACCTAATTTTCTGTCCTATGAGGGCCGAGGCAGTTTCTTTATTAGTAAGAAATCACTCCCACATCAAGATAAGATATAAGACCCACCTCCATCAATATGTAACAACTTTGTTGAAATTCTTTTAATTTCTATTGATTGTCTGTGGAAACTCTAGCATTTTCCAAATAGAAAAATCATATGACTGAAATAGAAGACACTTTCATATTTATTTTTTTTAATTCTTAAATATGTCAATTATTTTTGTATTTTCTTACTTGATTGTCCTTGGATTTACGTTGAATTGAAGTGGTGATAATGGAGACCATTTTCTTGTTTCTGACTTAATACACTGCTTTTAAAATATCACTATTCAACAATGCACCTCTTTCATGGTTTTTATTTTAATTAATTAAATAATTATTATAAGTTTGTTTGTATGGTTTTTAGTAAGCATACTTCAAAAGTTTATTTGCTCAACACATGTGTCTTCTTTTTGTCTTCCACTGTTTGATTTTCTGAGACAAGGTATCTCACCCTGTGGCCCTGGCTGGCATGGAACTTGCTGTGTAGACCAGTCTGACCTCATACTCACCAAGGTCTGTCTGCTTTTGCCTCCTGAGTTCTGAGATTGAAGTGCACACCACCGTGCTAGGCTCAGTATTTCTTTTGCCTTTGTGACTGAGCTGAGGGCTTCACAACCTGTCTTCTAGTCCACAAAAAATGGTTCTTCTACATGTTATATAGTGATTTAATTAACAGATTTCTTCTTAGCTCCTATTCTCATCCCTGTAATTAACTGTACTAGGTACCAGTGACTGTTCCATTTGCTAATAGGATATTGCCCTTACAATTCACAACTGCATTTGGGCTACAACTGCCAAGTCATATATGGTCCTTGTTCAGTGTTTGTTTCTGCTACATAAGATAACTTCAGGTGTTGTTGCAAGGAGAGGGCCCACTTGTTTGTCCTGGATGCCTGCTAGCTTAGCCCCAAAATAACCACACAGAAATTATATTAATTAAATCACTGCTTGCTCCATTAGCTCTAGCCTCTTATTGGCTAACTCTCACATCTTGATTTAACCCATTTCCATTAATCCTTATATTGTCACATGGCAGTGGTTTACTGGCCAAGATTCAGCATGTCTGACTCTGGCAGCAGATCCATGGCATCTCTCCCTGACTCTGCCTCCTTTTTCCCAGCATGCCATTTAGTTTTCCCTGCCTACCTAAATCTTGCCCTATCAACAGGCCCAAAGTAGTTTCTTTGTTAACCAATGAAAGCAAAGCAAAACAAAGACAGAAGGACCTCCTACACCAAGTAGTTTGCTTTCCCCCTAAGACTTGAAATTTTGAGTGTGTGTGCATAAAAAGAAAAAAAATAGAGGGATATATTCAGTTTGGTAAAACATTTATTAACCCTCTGGACTTCTTGTCCATTTGTTAGTCATATGAGGTATTGGGAAATTTTATATCCTATTCTGTGAATGTGTGTGTGTTAATGCACATATATGTGTGTGCTGTCTGTGCAAATGTGTACACACATATGTGTACACAGATGCTCTGCCCATGCATGAATATGTGGAAGCCAGAAATAGACTTCCAGTATCTTTCTTTATCACTGTTCACTTTGTCTTTGAGATAGGGTCTCAAAGGAACCTGGCGTCACCATTGTAGTTAGGCTGACTAGCCAGAAAGCCTTTAGAATCTGCCGGTCTCCACGCCTCCTCCTGTAAGTCCAGTGCTGAGATTACTGGTGTGAGAGTCACACCAACTTTTATGCTGGTGTTGAGGATCTGAACACAGCCAGCACTTTGCCCCTACCCCTGCTCCAATTCATTTTAATTTTTGGCTTTAAATCATCATATATTTCCCATGTGTCTCTCTTGAGAACTCAGAAAGGTTGATCTCATTGCAAATAAGGAAACGTAAACTCCTAGAGGTGGAACAGGTGGCAAAATGACATTATTCATTAATATAACAAAGAAGTACCCTTTGGACCCCAGTCCCATATTGTAAGAGTTTGGTGGAGGGCACATGGGGCTATAAAACAGTTGCTATAAAATGCAATCATCTTCACAAACAAAAAGGCATAACCAGTATAGTGCCATATACTACTTAAACACCAAATGGGTATTCTCATGTTTAATTTTTTAACATGCAAATTTTAAAGAGCTGAATTCTTCCAAGAGTCAAGCACATAGAACTTATTTTCAACCTACTTTTCCCATGTCCTTATTATTATCCTTTGGGATATGAAATTCACCGCTCATTTTCCAATTGAGTAACTCTGGCAGTATGTCCTACCCAGATAATTGCTTGCAGATGGGAAACACGCTCTTGCTGTAACATGTAAGCACCAAGGACAGCATAAAGACAGGCTACCCCATAGGCCCCCAGAGCCAGCCAATGGGGAAGGGTTTGTTTCTTTATCTAGATGGGAGTTTCCACAGATGAGACTTCCCAAATGATTATAGCTAAAACTCGAAAGATCTTTAAAAAGTACGCCCCTAACTTGTGTTTCTCATGGTGTATTGTTGGTATGATCCATACCACTGCAGTTGTGTTTACCTTGCTAATGAGGGTTCCTTGACTGGACCGTGTTCCAGAGCAACAGAAAACTAGAAGTGCCGAGAAGTTTCCATTGTTAACAGCTTTGTAGCATCCTTTGCACCACCTTCTAGGAATTCTTGTGTATAACAGAGCTTGAGAAATCTTGTAAAACACGTTGAATTATTAAGCTTAGGAGATGGCTTGTTCATTCAGTAAAGAGTCAAGTAAACATGAAGACCTGGTTTTATATCTGAATCAGAGTAAACAGCAACAACAACAAAAATCCAAGCATGGTATTGGACCCTTTCTTGTTATTGCAGAATGAATCAGTGAAGACAGCTTACAGCTTGCTGGACCACCAACCTAGCCTAAATCAGAAAGCCATGAGCCTATGAGAGGAGACATAATCTTGTGAACTGAGGCAGATAGTATCTGAGGGCTGACACCTAAGGTTGATCTCCAACTCCATATGCATTCCAGTGCGCATGCACACAAACACACACACACAAGAATGTGTCCATAAAAATGCATACACACCGAAGTAACTCATGATATTTCGTTAGAACTATTTTAAAATGATGTAATTCTCACTTTAAAACCAACATTATTTTTTATTTCTAAAATACCTGTCTTGTGAAATAAATTATCATTTTATAAAAGTGAGTTTAACATTTTATTTCATTTAAAGTGAGGCATAGTCTTGCCTTTGTACAACCTTTCTTTATCAGCTGTAGAGATAATATAAAATCTACGTTACAAAAATAATTGGAAAACTAATTGACACTTTAATCCAAAGCATAAGTGAATGAAGAAAATTAATAAAATTTGCTACAAAATCACCAATAAAAATTAAAAATATCAGCTAAAGGAAGCCTTTTATAATTTCGATTTTTAATTGTGTGTGTGTGTGTGTGTGTGTGTGTGGTGTGTAGGTGTGTGCATTTGAATGCCAGTGCCCTTTTAGTTCTGATGAGGGCATCTAACCTCTGCAGCTGGAGTTACAGGCACCCAGTACGTTACTGAGAACCAAACTTGGCCTTCCAAGAGCGGTACACTCTCTCTACCAAGAAGCCATCCTTCCAGCCTCTGCCTCTAATTTAATGAACTGATAAAATGCTTTTAGAAGAACAAATGGCCAGGTTGGGTAAAACCAAACGGCAGGAGGATTTTGACAAAATGCAAATAGTTTGGCTCAAGTCATGAACCTGGAGATGATTTCAGCAGCCATTTTAGCTCACAGGGAGACTCACATGATGGGAAGTCTAGGTGTGTGGTGTCTCCTTAGAGCGAAGCTGCAGTGAATCTGCGTGCGCAGGCGCGCCATGTGTTCACTTCTGCTGTTTCCTAGACCATGAATGCATCTTCTTTCCCCTAAAGGGAATCTCCTGGTCATCACATTTGTTAGTTACTTTGGCTCCAAACTTCACAGACCAAAAATCATCGGAGCAGGCTGCTTGGTCATGGGAGTCGGAACACTGCTCACGGCGCTGCCACAGTTCTTCATGGAGAAGTAAGTCCGAAGCCTCCATCTTTTCCTAACCCTTCCTGCGATGGCAGATCTCCGCATCTGTTTTTTTTTTTTTTTTTTAATTGTAATTTGTCTTGTTTTCATCATTTGGCAAATGTCTTGCTACATGGCTCTGGTTAGTCAGATATTTTCTTTACTAGACTGCCCAAGATGGCATTGAATTAATAGCCTTCCTGCCTCAGCCTCCAGAGTTCTGGGGTTATAGGCATTTCTTTAAAAAAATATATGTGGGTGTTTTGCCTGCCTGTGTCTCTGTACACAATGTGCATGCCGTGTCATGGAGGCCAGGAGAGGACGTTGGATCCTCTTTGAACTGGACTTAAAGTTGGTTGTAGACTGTCATGCGGGTACTGGGAATTGTACCCAGGTCCTCTGCAAGAGCAGCTAGGGCTCTCCACCATGACCCGTGTCTCCAACCTCATCACCAGACCCCTTTACAGCTTTTCACAAAATTATTCATTGATTATGGGCTTTTTTTTGTTAATATGCATTGTTTTGTATAAACAAACTTATTGTTCTGCCTTCTTCAAACAAATAACCTTGGTGTTACACAAACGTTATTAATCATAGATGGTAATTATGATGAGGAACTCTGGCTGGCTGGGTTTAGCATTCTTTCTCTTAGCTCCACTAACCCACATATATGAGAATGATCTATGATGATCATTGTTTTAGGCACTGTGGATAAGGGAATGAAAAGAACTCCCTGAGCTCACGGATCTTGGGAGTAAGAAAAAAACACAACACACATGCAGAGTGTGCTGTGGTATGTCATATAGGGATATTAACTGTTGAGAATGGGGCGGGGAAAGATGGCCAAACCTTGAAGAACACTTGCTATACAAGGTGCATGTGGCCCAAACACCTATAATTCCAGCTCAGAGGCACATCACATTGTTACATCTTCTTCTGGCTTCCCTGTGAGCACGGGTGTGCACACTAGCATACATACACCCACACATTCTCAGGCACACACACACACACAGATGATACAGAACAACAACCTAGTGAAGACACTTAAGGAAAGAACTGTGAAAAGACAAGGGAACTCTCGCAGATTGACTGACCAGTGAGTTCTGGTGATGTGCTCTGCCTCCCCAGTGATACGGTTACATATGCCCACTGCTGCACCTGGCACTTAACTGAGTGCTGGGGATCTGAATTCAGAATCCCATGCTTACACAGCTGGTCCTTTACTGACTGCCTAGAACCAGATGTGGAGTTTATAATGGTAGATTGTAACTGTGATCTCTGCTTCAAAACCTGACACTGATGAACATCCTGGGATGAGATTGCAGGAAGTAGATACAAAATTTTCATATGCTCAGTAAAGACTGCTCTAGGCAGAATTTAAAAGCTGTCAGAACTAAAACCCTAAACTTAAGGGCAGCCATGGCTGGGGCTAGGGCTTACCAGTATGCACTGTCCTGTTGTCCTGTATACAAGGGAAATGGGTTCGACCTCCAGCATGGAAAAAAAAGAAAAGCGAAAGGTTTCTACCATTATTTGGACCTGATAACACAGGCCTGTAATACCCGCTATTCCAGAGACTGGAGCAGGAGGATCGCATAAGTTCACGGCCAGTCTGTGTAGGCATCATTGAGTCCAGGGCTAGCTCAGAGCAATTAGCAAGGGTGTGGTGGGGGTGGGGAGTGGAGGATAGAGAAGTGGGGTTGGGTTAATCTGCCATCACAGTCATTACCTGGAGGGAAAAAGCAGAATTCCTTCTGGGTATAGGGCTCTAGAGTCGTGATGCATTTTGCACATTTTCGAGAGCTAGCCTGATGTGGGATCCCTGTGAGCGTTCTGATTCTGATGTGCTAATGCCTCAAGTTGTTACAGTATTGATTTTTCTCTGTCTTGGAGACAGCCTCTCTCTCCAGCAAATTTAGGTAGCTACCTCTTGCTCTAAGCGAGCAGGTGATGGGCAGTCACCGTCTTCTATTAAAATAAGTCTTAAAATGAGTCTTGCTTTTCTTTCCTGTCAGTGGATCACGATGGCCCAAGAACGATGCAAAGGCAAAGGATGGGTCATGCACCAAGCCCCTGCTCAGTGCAGGTTTGGTTTGATGAGTCCAACTTGAAAGAATAAAAACCCAATCTGCCCTCTCATGAGTGGCAAACCAAGTCTGTGTTTTAGCATGATGTTAGTCTGTCAGGGTAAACATATTCTTTATTTGCAGGTACAGCTATGAGAAATATGAGAAGTATTCTCCCTCTGCCAACCTCACTCCCAACATCTCTCCGTGCCACTTGGAGTCCAGCAGTCTGCCACCAAGCTTAGCCATGGGGAAATCACCAAACAAAATGAATGATGGTAAGATGATTTTTAAAAATTGACTTGTGTAAGTAAATAGGTTTTAGCTTTTATGTACAATTTAGTTTATTACTATTTTATATATTATTATTCAGGGTTTTTTTTTTCTGAAAAGCATTAGTACTGAAAATATTAACGTATAAAAAATTCCTACAATTGTGCTGGGAGATGGCTGAATGGGAAAGAGTGGTTGATTTTCAAGCATGAAGACCTAAGTTCAAACCCTCAGCACCCACTGAAAAATCTAGCCATGTCTGCACATGCCTATAAACCGAACACTCGGGGATACAGGTAGATAGGTTCCAAAATTTGCTAGCCAGCCAGCCCAGCTGAAACAGTGGAATTTTGATTCACTGAGAGATTCTATCTTGAGGCAATAGACTAAGAATGATGGACAAAGGTACCAATATACCCTGGCCTTTGCTTGTACACAGTGACAGACACACACAACTGCTGTTCACATGCCTGCACACTGTAAGCACTCATACACACATAAACAGCTCATAGAGTATAAAACTGTATGATATGATCCCAGTAAAATATTTCAGTAGTTCAATATTATGAAAAAAAAAAACACAAATGGCATGCTGGTTACTAGGAACATCTACCAGTGGTTTCTTCTAAGATGGGTCTTGAAATGAAAATAAAATAAACTTCACAAATAGAATCATCAATCTAAAGGATCAGATAAGAAATGTATTTTTTCCCATAAATATATTTAATTTCTTCTTTATCCCCTTTACACCTAGGTAAAAATAGCTTCCACCTCCCAGTGATGAGAAACCTCCAGTTGTAAATACCTGAGAACCACTTAGCCCAGTGTGTGCCTGGGAGGGGACATTTAGATGTGGTGATCACTGGAGGCAGTGCCAGAACTCTGAAGCAGTCTTTCTTTTATGTGACTGACATAACTGCCCTGCCTCATTTGGCCAAATTACATCATGACATTTATGAATGCATCCTTAAATTGCTTTAGATTCAACTATAGAAATATTGTCAAAATCCTGTTCCTTTTGTTAGAAAATATGGACTTAAAGAATACAAGATGTGTAATTTTTACGTGACTTGTTTGAAGAATTCTAAAAATGGTTGATTACTAGCACAAAGAACTGTAGGCGATACAGCCCTGCTGCAGCTGTCAGCCACGTCAACACTTGACTTTCAGGTAGAACTTGGACAACAATGGAAAATACTTGTGATTAAAAATGACACAATTTAGCCAGGTGGTGGTGGCACATGCCTTTAATCCCAGCACTTGGGAGGCAGAGGCAAGCGGATCTCTGTGAGTTCGAGGCCAGCCTGGTCTACAAGAGCTAGTTCTGGGACGGGCACCAAAGCTACAGAGAAACCCTGTCTCGAAAAACCAAAAAAAAAAAAAAAAAAAAAAAAAAAAAAGACACGATTTGTACTAAAGTGGGTGTAGATAAGCACTTGTTCAAGGCCTGTTTTGCCTCCGAGAACATGCTGAATGAGTTTGGAGTGTAGAAAGCCAAATACGTCTATAGGTTCAAAATGAAAAAAAGAGAGCAACTAAATCCAAGGAATTCGAAGAAGTGAGAATCTCTTAGTGAGGCCTCCAGATTTAACTGTTGAAGAGATAGAAGTCTAAAAAATAATTCAGCCTCTTCCAAACTCTTACCAGTTTAGCACTGTGGCAGATTTTGATTCTGCCTTCTAACACAATTTTAAAGCCAAGCATAGAAATGTAGAATAAACATTTCGCATCATTAGTGAGCTCGCTCTAGTCTTCTTTTTGCTTCTCTTTCTAGAATGCAAAGGGGATGCCAGCTCCTCCATGTGGGTTTATGTCTTCCTGGGAAATCTTCTGCGAGGATTAGGGGAAACTCCCATCCAACCCCTTGGCATTGCCTATCTGGATGACTTTGCCAGTGAAGACAATGCTGCTTTCTACATTGGTAATGTCCACTTCATCTGGTGTGAGAAGTGGGGTGTCTGTTTGCTCCCTTCCTGTCTATTTCAAATTTAGTGTGGAAGGTCTTAGCACTCAGTCTCCATGCCTTCATTCAGTTAACACTTGTCTGAAATACACAGAGGATTTTAACAGTGTTGAAATACGAGCGGCGGGGCTGCGTCCCCAACACCCCGGCCGCTTGGCTAGCTCATGCCCGAAATAACAACACACAAGCTGTATTCATTTGAGAACTGCTTGGCCCCTGAACTTTAGCCCTTACAGGCTAATTCTCGCACCTGGACTAGCCCATTTCTAATAATGCCTGTAAGCACCCCAAGGTGCGCTTACCGGGGAGATTCTAGCCTCCGTCCATGGTGTCTCTGCTCCAGAGAGCAGAGCTGTCGGGTCTCTCCGGGAGCAGAGCAGAGTCTGACCTCACTTCCTCTTCCGCCCAGAATTCTATTCTGTTTACTCCTCCCATCTATGTTCTAAGTTGAGGCCAAGCAGTTGGTTTATTATAACTTAACCAATGAAATCAACAGATTGATATATGACACTCCCACATCATAACAGTGGAGACACTTTGTTAGTCGGTGTCTTTTGCATAAGGAAGAGAACACTAGACTAGAAGAAAATAGCTGTGATCTTGACTGTAATGGCATGGAACTTTATGAAGGCATCTTGGGGGCTTTAGAGTTCAGAGATTGTTTTTTAACATTTTTTTTGTGTGTGAGTGTGTATAGGTGTGTGTGCGTATTGTTTCTGCAGTTTTAGAAATCGCCTTGCATTATAAAAGTCCCGATTAAAGGATTTTTTTTCCCCCTATATGAGATAGGAAGGAATTCTGGAACCTTGAAAGTGGGTATGAATGATTAAAAAGAAATATAAAGAGTATAAGCAAGGCTCAAGGCTACTGCATCTGTAGATTGTGTCCCAGACAACTGCAGAACTCATCTGTGTCTACAAAAGAGAGGGGAATGCCCTGGAAAATCTTCCACACAAACTGTAGTAGAAGTGAACTCTGAGGGTCAGATGTGTCTATGCGCTGTTTAATGGGTGTCTCTCACATTCTGGAATCCAGCCAGAAATTAGAACTGCAAGCATGACTATTGTGTCAACTGTGTTTCATACATTGGTTTTGATTTCTTGGAATGCTGATCTTTTGAATGCATAGCCTTTAGGAAAAAAGGACAAGATTTGATGAGAGACTTTGCCAAGAATTATTGTGTTTCTGGGCACATAGTACAGAAATCCCTGATATCCTGCAGATACCAATACAGACTTAAGAACAGACTCTCACTCTATTAGAAAACCGGAGCATAACTCCGGAGCTGAGATATGGGATACACTGAGCAAGGATCCAGACACTGGCTAAGATTTACCTACCTCTGGAGGTTCTCAGAGGCTCACACAGTCTCTCTTCTGTTCTGAAAGAGGCCAGGGAATGTCTCTTCGTGTTCTTGAAATCTCCAGGAATATGAGTGTTTGAGTTCTGCAGGGAAATGAATGGCATGTGGGAGACACTTAGCTGAGCAGGATGACCTTTCTACTCACCGGTGGCCCTTTGCTCTGGGTAACCTGTTACAGTCATCTATCAGGCTGCCCCTGACCTCTGGTGAGCTTTCTGGAAAAACTTGCCCCAAGATTTGCTCCCCGCCCCCCCGCCCTTTTTTAGCTATTTCCTGAGACAACACTCTCCCCACAATGCTTCCTCACAAGCTCCACATAAATGAGTGGGCACTCTTTATCACCGAAATGAGAAAATCCATTTTAATGTCAAAACAGAATTTATGCTTTACTGACCATAATTTTTTGATAAAGATTATGAAATTATTATTGTTTTTCCTTGTCTGTTTTTGTTGCATATAGTCCCTAGCTCCTTCATTCATCTCTCAAGGACTAGGATTCCTAAATTGTGGACAGCGCAACTGTCAGGACTATAGTTTGCTTCATGTTTGGAATTTAAATTTGTTATAGTCCTGGTGTTATTTCCATGAGTGGAATCATATGTTAGAAGTAATAATTTTCTCCCCAAATAGAGAAAGACTTATTTCCTGAGCTGGTGCATTGAAAAATTAGCCAGCGCCACCACAGGTGAGGTGCCCAAGTTTTATTTTGCAGCTGCCAATGTCATCTCATTTATATTTCCTGCTCAGCATTTGATTAATTTATGAAGACAAATCAAAGTGGCAGTTATTCTTATTTTTCCTCTATTCCCCCGCTAATAGGTTTTATTTTAATTTGGTTTGCTTTTTTTGTGCAGGGTGTGTGCAGACAGTGGCAATTATAGGGCCCATTTTTGGCTTCCTCTTGGGTTCATTATGTGCCAAACTGTATGTTGATATTGGCTTTGTAAATCTAGGTAAGTAGGTCTATTTATTTTATCTAACCATCTATCTATCTATCTATCTATCTATCTATCTATCTATCTATCTATCATCTATCTATCTATCTATCTATCTATCTATCTATCTATCTATCTATCTATCATCTATCTCTATCTATCTATCTATCTATCTATCTATCTATCTATCTATCTATCTATCATCTATCTATC